GGTTCCCTCACAGCATGTACAAATAAATTCTGAATCACGGATTATCGTATGTCTACAAAACATGGCAATTCCATGGCCAAAATCCAGGATCCACCTACCACCAAATTTTACCTGGGCTAATTAAAAAACAAAACAAAATAACCAAAGCAACCTTTGTATTGGCTTTCCTCTTTCACTTCCTTTTAGTCTTCTAGTCTTGCGATCCTTTGAGAATACGCAGCAGATCAACTAGAGCTCAGAATCCTTCCGTGACTCTCTGTTTCTCTAGAAGGAAGCACCCACTGGGGAGTGGGTCCCAGGGCCCAGGTGATGTGATCCAGCCTTAAGCTGCATGGCTGCCCTCCTCGCTATGCTCTCTCCGGCTTTGTGCATCAGATTCCCCCCACAATGCTGTTCCTCTTTTCAGAAACGCTGCCCCGAATGCTAAATCTGTTCTCTAGAAGTTGCCTTGTTCGGGCAGTCTTCTTCCACCCCTCCTCCGGGCCTTGTGCTCTGGAACATCTGGAAGAGCAGGCTCTGATTTTTGTTTGTCTCCGTGGGCATTGAAAACTCCCACAGGGTATGAGAGTGGTATTTCCTCATGGGGATAGCTCTAGTGCTCGCGAAGTATTTACCACATCATCATGGGGACTCACTGAATAATTGTAGAATGCAAGAATACATAGTACAGAGGCAAAAAGCTCAAAAGAAATAAAGACAAAAAATGATAAATAGGTAACTCACAGAAAACTATGTTCCATACGCAACAGAAAATATGATGTTTGTAATTAAAAAAAAAAGAAATAAAACCCACAATATTCTTGGCTCACCAGGTTGGCAAACATATAAAAACACTAAAGACTGCCAATACTGACAGATGGGCTAGCAAGCACCGATAATCTTGCTGGTGAGCATGTAATCTGGTTCAGACAAACTGGGCTGTGATTTGGTTGTGATGTAGGCAGGCAGGCAGATAGGGAAGCCCTCCTCCCAGGAGATGGCAGTAAATTTCCTGGGAAGTAATAGCTCTGAAGTTGCAAAGGCCAACCTTGCAGAAAACACAAACTAAGACCTGATAAGACCCTCACCTATCTACTGCAACAGACCCTGAGAAGCTCTTGCAGAAACAAAAGGCCAGGAAAGGAACTTCAAAGAAGACCATCACTACTCCCAACCTCTCTGGTAACTTCCTTAGCAATGGACTTTTACCTAGGTAGAAGCCCCATGTGCGGGCAGGTTCGAGAAACCCTATAAAGGCCACCTCCAACAAAGGAAGTGTGCATATGCTGCCCGAGTCCATGTGCTGCCTGCACCCACGTGGCTGGGCACATGTGGTGCCTGAACGCATGTGTCACCCGCATCTCCCCTCCTGAGATGTGTGCTTTCAGGCTTTCCTATCTAATGGTGGGATGTGTGTAGGGGATCTCTCTGCCCTTGGAGAAGCCCGGGATCTCTCTTGAGCACAATACTCTCTATTATCTCTCACTTTCTCTCCCTCCTTCCCTTCAAAATCTCCAAATAAAAACGGTGTAATTTCACTGTCCGTCTACTTCTGAAATTCCTTTCTGTGAGGCAAGACAAGAATCCTGGGTCTTGGGTGGCAGAGGCAGACTGGGAGAAAGTGACCATCTTTCTCTCCTCCACCTGTGAGGCCCACTGACATCAGCTGCACTGTTAAAACTTTAAATGACCATAGAGTTGAGTCATGAATTCTATTCCTAGGAGATGGTTAAATATATTTTACAAAGTCTATCGATAGCACAGCGGGTAGGGCGTTCGCCTTACAAGCGGCCAACATGGCCGACCCGAGTTCGATTCCTCCGCCCCTCTCGGAGAGCCCGGCAAGCTACCGAGAGTATTCGATATGCCAGACACAGTAACAACAAAGTCTCCAATGGAGACGTTACTGGGCCCGCTCGAGCATTCTCTGCAGACATATGAAAAAATGAGCAACACAAAAAACCATTTAAATGGTCACCCACTGAGTATTGCTAAGGTGGATAAACATACAATGGCCTCTATGGCCTGTATCCATTTGTCCTGTGTGTGGATGCAGGCAGAACTCCATAACGTAACTCACTGTGTTTCATCTGATATCAGTTTAGTCTATTTTTGCATCACACTCAGTGGTTCTGTGCTCAGGGAGTCAGGGGACCACGTAGTGCCAAGAATGGGAGCTGGGGTTCTCGGAGAAAAGCTGTTGCTAAGATGAACCTGGTAGGCTGGATCTCAGGACACAGGCCACTGGAACCAACTCAGGATTGGGTAGGCTGAGTTCCTGCTCTGTTGGAGGGGCCTCGTCTCCCCCCACCAACACCTGCTTCCATGACTCACCGGATGGTTCATCTGAAGAGAAACTACAGCCACACAAAACCTGGTTGGCCAGAGCAGCCATGCTGCTGAATGACTCAGCATACTCGGCTGAGATGCATCTCCATAGTTCACAGTACACACAGCCCAGGAGGAGCTCAGAAAATTAGAGGGGAAAGTTGAGTAGAAGCTCAATGTTCTCACAATGTATTGTGAGAGCAATAACAGAGAAGGCTGAGCTAGCACCTGACAGCTCAGCAACTCCTCAGACAATCACCTTAGCAAGACTGTTATGAGATATATTCGATTGCTTCGAGCAGTCCCCAGTAACGTCTCTTTCATCCTAGCCTTGAGATTATATTCAAGGCTCTTTAGGAGAATAAAGCCCATCATTGTTACTGGTATTTGGCATATTGGGTAAGCCACGGGGAGTTTGTCAGACTCTGCCGTGTGGGCAGGCTACATTCGATAGCCTGCCAGTTTGTCCAAAGTAGGAATGAGATGTCATAATAAGATGTCGTGCGGCTGCGAATGCAGCCGCGCGGTTCCGGGAGCTGGTTTTTATAGTCTCTGGGTCTTGGCCGTTGATGGGATTACATGGTGCCAGGGGACCAGTTGGTGGGTGTGACCCCCGCCTACTGAAATTTGGAGGATCTGGGTGTAGGATGCTTGGCCCCAATCTGAGTAGGCTTGGAGATCTCGGCCCCGGAACCCGCGTGGCTTTGTCCCTCTGCCAGTACCTTCATGTGTGCAGAGAGTGGTCTCAGCATGGTGGTGGCTGGTCTTGGAGGTCTTCAGCTGCCGGAGCCCTGGTCAGGGCGGGGAGGAAAGCTCAACCCGCTCCCCTCCAAGGGGCCGCGGTGAGGACAGCCAGGCGCGGGGGCAGGAGACTGCGCTGTTCTCTTCCGGGAGCTGGTTTTTATAGTCTCTGGGTCTTGGCCGTTGATGGGATTACATGGCGTCAGGGGACCAGTTGGTGGGTGTGACCCCCGCCTACTGGAATTTGGAGGATCTGGGTGTAGGATGCTCGGCCCCAATCCGAGTAGATATATAGTGAGATATATAGTGTGACAAGAAATATAAATTATTTTGTGCTAAAGGGGTGGGCTGGGAAGGTGGGAAACTTGGCACCTTGGTGGAGGGAAGGTCACACTGGTGGTGGGGTTGGTGTTGGAACACTGAACACCCAAAATGACTGTATTACGAGCAACTTTGTGAATCACGGTATTTAAGTAAAGTTTAAATGGGGGGAAAAATAGGATGGAAGTTGGGTTTCCCACTTGCGGAACATATGCCCAGTGCTTGGAGCTAACCCTCCAGCCCATGATACATTTTTAAATTTAAAAAAAGAACTCATGTGGGCATCATTTG